GCTGCCGACGATAGAGATCGGATGGCGATGTCTATGTGGGATGCTTACGTTGCTCACCCTGGCTATCGAGCTTAATATCTTAGAATTAAAACACTATTTAAATCAACAAGTCTTTTTTATTTCATGTTTAAACCAGTAAGCAGGCTACAAAAGTGTATTTCATTCGGACAAAGTATCTAAAAAACATGTATTTCATTCGGACAAAGTATCTAAAAAATAAAAGAATAGCATAGCATAGCATATTATAGTGATGTAAAACAAAACCATAAGATTGTAAATTGTTAAAGTAATGTAAAACAAAATTTGGATTTGATGATAAGAAAAACTATCATTGAAAAGAAAACTATCATTCATTTTCTTTTTCCTTCTCATCAACAACCGTATACCCGAGGCTCAAAGCGAGCCAACTCCATCTCAGCTCAGGATCAGAGTTGATAAAGGTTCGACATTTGTCCTCATGCTCGAAAAGTAGGATGGCTTCAGATGCAGCTTTCGGATCCTTACCGAAGTGTGTCTTCCAGTCTTTATTGAAGATTGACATAGCTTTCTCTTGAGAGGGGATGGTCGTGTGTCTGAAGGCCAACGATTCTTGATCCAATCGAGCCGCAGTAATCAACATTGCCTCCTTCGCAGCGTCATGAGCAGCAACAGTCTTCGCTTTCAATATCTCACGATCAATGGCTTGAGTAGCTTGGTCCTTGAGCAATTCAGCTGAATTGTCCAAAGAAGCGGCGAGTTTGGCCTTGGTGTTTGGTCGGACACGAGGCGCTGGCTTTTTGCTGAAAGACCGAGGTTTGGGAGTCGGAGTCGCAGCAGTTTGAGTGATACCGTCATCGTCAGAGTCGTCGTTAGCATCCGGGTCCAATGCCATTTCATGAGGCAAGAGAGCAGCTTCTCGAGCTGGAATGGATTGATGAGAAGGTCAGCATTGTTTTTAATAAAAAGAAAAGATAAACAATAAAAACAAAAGATAAAGAAGGGCTTACCTCGAGGTCCACTTTGACGCTTCAATGGTGGAGGAAGCTTATAACCATCAGATTCATCATCGGAACCATGGTTAGATACGTTCTTTTCACTAGGCGATGGCGATTTATCTTGAGGTTCATCAATTTGACTAGTCGGTTGGTTGCGGTTGGTTTGAATCGTCTGGGTTCCGACAATTCCTTCGGCTGAAGCGTTGGTGTTACCGCATAACTCATGCATGAGGTCGTAAAGAGGAAACGCTTTCTTCTCGTATACACTAGCACCTTGGTGAGTCTACAGCAATCAAACAAATATGA